AATATATATAAAAAACCATGTCTTTCTTCGTCTTTAATATTTTATTTTCTTCCTTGGAAAATACTTAGTGGTATGTTGGCTTGAAGCTACATAACGAGCGGAAGTAGGTATTTACACAAAATGACTATTTTTTTTGTTTCGTGTCAAAATAATTTGTGCTGTTTAAGAAGGGTGTCGAAAGGACAGACACCGTAAGAACCTGTCTTCTGTGCTCTATCACATTTCTCCCGTCGTTCTCACGGCACTGTCGCATCGTAATCGTCGACAAACTGAAGTACACATTGTCCGTAAACACTTCGGTACGTCTATTCTCGATCGCGGGCTTGGTTATTAATTAAAGAGCGCGTCGCCAAAACGGGACGTCTTCGTAGGTCCTCGATGAGCGTGACGTGGGGGACGGGTAACTACGAATAAACTATCGTGACCCTTTCAACGAATAAGTTAAGCAGTTCGTGCGAATCCCTTCAACGCATCCGCCGAAAATGTACTCGTTGCAGTGGCGTTATAAACGTCGGGAACAAGTCTGCATACGACACAAAACCGGAAACGAATCTACCACGTTCATAAACGCTCCCGCATTTTTCTCGTACGCGTAGGCACTGTTGAGTACGTGGAACACAATATTCAAACTGTCCCGCTCACTAAACCAAACCTACGTCGAAAGAATGCGGCTCATTTTTATTATTTTTGGTAAAGCTCGTCAGCACTGAAAAGTCATAACAACATCATCATCATCAGCCTGACTACGCTCACTGCAGGACAAAGGCCTATCCCATGTTCCTCCAGTCAACTCGGTCCTGTGCTTGCTGCTGCCACTTTATACCCGCAAACTTACTAATCTCATCGGCCCACCTACCTTCCTGTCTCCACCTCACCCGCTTGCGTTCCATGATAATCCAGTCAGTTACCCCTTATGAGCATCGGTTGTCCTGCCTACGCGCTACGTGCCCGGTCCATGTCCATTTCCTCCTTTTGATTTCAACTATGATATCCTCAACCCCAGTTTTGTTCCCTGACCCCCTATTCTAAGCTTCTTGTTTCTTGAGGTTACCTCTGTCATTTCTCACCTAAGGTCATATACATCACTCTGAATATTGTACCAAGTTCGTCTTACCAGTGGAACGTTTCTGAATTTCTTTCAATGCACCCCACCGAAAAGTTACGCATGCAATTCCAATGATTCTAAACGTATCCTCACGGAATCCATATGGAGTCTATGTTTGCCATATTGTCGCCATATGTTTCCACAATAATTTTACAAAAACGTATGTAATTATTGCACTAGTACACGGGGAGTTTCGGTAGTGTGGGTTCTATCAAACGAGAACGTGATATTTTTGAGACTGCCACGCTTTTTTATCGATGAAAAATTGTTGACAGAACGTCGGTGGAGCCAATGTTGGGGCACGACAACTTGTTTTGTTGTTGCCGCTTCAGCATGATTCATACGAATCATACCCAATGCAAATAAACGGCCGAGTCATTGGTGGGGTTGTTCAATAAGTTCTATAGGGTATTATACCTAGATGCAATAGGTATAATATTATACCTAGATGTATTATATTGAATAATAATATGAACCTCCACTTATCAGTAACGAGATTTCTGAAGCCGACAGAATTTAGTCAGACATTTTTTTAGTCTCAATATAGCCTCAATAATAAGTTCCTCAATGACGATGAAAACATTTCCGTGGCTGCTTCATAGAGTAGTGCTTCCAAAAGAAAGGATACTGGCTTCCGTTAATCGTAGGCCCAGCTTTCGAAGAGGTGGTACTAGTATTCTTTTTTCCTCGGTATCGTGAAAGGGCGTCAGTATACAAAGGGGCGATCAATAATTTCCTCCTGATTACAGAAAAAGCACAGAAAGGAAGCCGCTGAACCTGCTCACTACCAATTAAGATTAAGTGTAAAAACGAGGCAGTGCAATTTTGCTTGACAACTTACATTATACTTGAGTTTAGTCGTCATGAGGGCGGCAGCTGAGTTTCTTGTCGCGTCAAGGGAGGCGGCTGCTGACATGACGTAGGCTACTTTACTTGTCGATACATCGGTTTCAGCGACACGTTCTGTTCAGTGATTTATGATCACTCGAGGCAGCGCCTCCTCTATTTCAAGCCTTCACCATTCAGTGAACTTGTCATTCTTGCACGCTTACTTGGTGAAACGCATTTGGAACGACATAAAGAGCGCATGTACCGCATTTTCCTGCTTAAAGGCGGTACTTGTTTTACCACCTCACGTTTCCTTCATCAACCATTCGTGGTTTAGCAGCGACTATACCAGTTCAAGGAAAAAAAAAATGGTTTGCCTGTACTACACGCGGATAGCTACTGACGGAAGGTTTTCGACAGAGTTTGTCGAAACTTCAGACAAACCTGATGGGTTTTCTTTTCCTTAACTCTACGTAGGAGATGAGCAATGAGTGGCTATCGGCTTTCGAAAGTTCCTCTACTGTCGAATAAGTTTACGGCGACGGTATAGTAGTCCTATGAAGAAAGTCAGCGAAGTTCTTGAGCCGTTTGATGATCAATTAATGGGACACTTGATTGGTGGGTCAAAAAACGCGCGATGACTCAATGTCATGCACGCCGGAGCTTAAAGTAGAGTGGGTGCAAGCTCATTCTGCCTGTAAGACAGTTAAGTAACGTCCTCGCTTCAAAAGTCTGCCGTAGGGTCTCTGTAAAAAGGTGCGCGCGGTTAAAAGAACGAGTAATTAGCAAGTGGACCGTGGCACGACACGCCGAAGAAATGGGATGAGGTGTAGAAAAAAAAAGATGAACACTAGCGACCAAAAAAGAAAGAAAGACGAAACAACGATGTGGTGGTCCTCCGGTTCTCTAGATGAGACGCGTCCGCCATCTTCACTCCCTTGGTTGCCCAGTCCCGTCGTTATCTGTGATGCGATGCTCCTCTCGGGGCACAGACTTGGCGTATCCACAGTCAGCACTCGCTCTCTCCACGCGTTATGTACACACCGGTCACAACAAGCACACCACTACTATACTTCCGCACCATTGCATTACGAGTCTGTGTTTTGTAAAGAGTTCCAACTTGCACCTGCGGAATGAGTGGGAACGAGGGTGTGGGGAAGAGAATGAAAAAAAAAAGGGAAACATTAGTGTTAGAAATAGTAGCGAGTGATCCAATTTCACTATGAACTCCGAGACTGGGCGAGGCTCCGAAATCGAAGCGCCTGCCATCTCAAAAGCGTGCACAACACTGATACAGGCAAAATAAAAAAAGTGTATGCAGTTGCACTTGACGCTAAAACTGTATGAAGTGCGGAGCAGTTTTTCACCTGCCCTTCGACGACGCTGGCGTTCACGGGCAAGCACGTCATTTTCCTTTTCTTCCCCCTCAATTCCATTTTTTCATCCTCTTGTTAGGCTATACAATGCAGGGCTATGCTATGCTTTACAAGCGCCTGCTTTACCCTGATACCTTTCCTCATCACCATCACACCATTCCGCGTAGCCACCACTTCCTTTCGCTCCTAGCCATTTTGTACCGCTCATTCTATACCATACAAGTCTGTACTATGCGTTATACCCCCTCCTCCTCCTTACATCTCTCCTTTTCACCATCAGTTCTATTTCCCACCCCTAAGAGAACGAAGGTTATACAAATCCGTGTTATGGTGCTCAGCTGCTCACCCGAAGATGGCGGGTTCGATATCGGCCGTGGCGGTTGCGTTTCGGTGGAACCGATGGAAGGTGAGAGAGAGAATAAATTGAGAGAAATGCAGAGAGGTCAACCGGAATTGTAGCATCCGGTTTGCTACCCTGCACTGAGGGGAGAGGGAAGAAAGAGGAAAAGGAGAGGCCTGTGCGATGCCACGATGCCGGTGCAAGTGAAAGAACACCCGTTGGTCAAAATTTCTGAAGCCTTCGGCTATGGCGTCCTGTAATAATTGGGCTGACGATAGTGATAGCGCGAGAACCGAACGACGACAAAGAGACAAGGATTTGTCGTCGTTCTGTTTTCGCGCTATAACTATATCGTCATGTCATACCAACTAGCCCAAACTGCCACACTTCTAAGTGGTATTAGGACATAAAACTCCAGATATTATTATTATTATATAAATCCGTGCACTACCCATAATTCACAAAGTGGCTGAAGCGCAGTGTATTTGCAGTTCCCATTTACCGGCAGTCACTATTACCGGCAGTCACTATTAAATGCCACCTGAAATTCTTAAGCGTGTACATACATCAATGTGCATGAACATTTTTTCATCTCGTTCATATCAAAACATATATGTAGCCGCAGCAACCGGAATCGAACTCACAACCTCGTCACAACACCATAGCGGGTGTACAAAAGTGCACCGTTGTTGCTCTTCGGAAAACCGTGGACAATGGGCCGTATTTGAGGGCTAAACTCGTCTTGGAAACACGCCCAGGCCGTGTATTCACGACCGCGCCTTTTCGTTTCGGGGCCCGAAAAACAATGGCTGCTCAATTTAGAAAAAGTTTCTGTGCTTCCTCCTTGACGGGAGCGAACGCATCGTAGTCTGCAGGCTCCTCTCACGTTGTCCGTGATTCGTGTTTTATGCGAACACCGGCAGTGCTTTTATTGATGTTTTTTTTCTTGCCCGACACTAGTTTAGGTTTCGTTTATAGAACAAAAATACAAGTTTCGCTTTATTATGGGCAGTACCAGCGCACAAACTCACGGGACGAAGAGGAGAGGCACAAACAAGCTAGATGGATGCACGGACGGACACATGGATGGACAGACAGACTAGCAGACGGACGGACAGGTAGACGGACGCGTAAAGCGGCTATGTGCCACAGGGTGTACGAGATGCGAGATGGTGGTACTGAGTGTTCGTTTGTGTCTCTTCTCTTCGTCCCGTCCGTCTGTGCGCTGGTACTGCCCATAATGTATCACCAACTATCCCAACTATCAGTCCTGTGTCGGTTTATAATCTAGCTCACCAGATGAAAGGAGAAGCGGCCACAGCGGGCACGACATCGGCAGGCCGTGAGGCGAAACGGCGTGCCTCGACCTCACGTCTCGATTTTGTTGGCGATGGCCAGGATGGAGGCGGCCGAGGAGGCGCTGCCCCGGTGCACCCGTTCTGTTATGCTCACACTGCCGGCCAGCTGAATCAGGTTGGCCGTGGTCGAGGACGGGTTGACGGCCGCCGACGAACTGCCACCGCTCCCACCGTCCGCCGCAGAACCGCCGCCGCCGCAGCTCACGTGGGACGCTGCGTTGGTAAGTCGTTTATCGCGGTCACCGAATGAGAGCATTTAGTTCAAAGATATCTCCTACGACGTGAAAGATAAATGTGGTAGACAACTCACTCATTTGATTAAAATAGCGTGAATACAGGTCATGCTGCTGTATAACAGTAGACATCCATCGGTACGCTAGCAAACACTACGATCGAAAGGGTTTTTTTTCGAAGACTCGCTTTCTTCGTTTGACACCAGCAGATAATGATCGACATGATATGTGGGTTTTACGTCCCAGAACTACCATATGATTATGAGAGACGCCGTAGTAGAGGACCCCGGAAATTTAGAGCACCTGGGGTTCTTTAACGTGCACCCAAATCTGAGTACACGAGCCTATACAACATTTCCGCCTCCATCGTAAATGCAGCCGCCACAGCCAGGATTCGATCCCGTGACCTGAGGGTCAGCAGCCGAGTACCATAGCCAATAGACCACCGCGGCGGGGCCACCAGCAGATAATGCAGCCAAGGAAAGTACAGGGAACGTTAACTGTACTGTTTTAAGTGCGTTCTTGCAGTTGTGATTAAGGTGTGCAGAAAGTGAAGTAGACGAGAAAACTTGCCGCCAACAGAGACAGAACCCTCAAGTTCCATCGCATTACGTGCTCTATACTTTCATCAATTGAGCTACGGCGGCAGTCGCCCCTGGTACACTTGTAAAGTATTTATGCGCATAAAACCCTGGTAGTTTTAGCCACTGCACTCGCCTTCATAACGGTGATTGTGGAGCACTCTTTCCTTTGAAATCTGACGTCACTTAGCACGTGATCTTTCAACGAGTGGACAGCTGACCAATAAGCACTCGAATACTACCTGAGAGCATCAAATCTGCTGGAACGAGACTCTCGTGTATGTATGAACGGAGAAAAAAATTCGAAGGCTCGTTTTCTTTTTTTGTAACAACTTAAATGACAACCTGCACGTAATGAATCCAAGGAAAGTGTAGAGAGCGTTAATTGTACGGTTATAAGTCTATTGTAGAAATTGCTGGTTTTCATTAACTTTAGCCCCAGCGTTAGCCAGTACTTAAAGAGTGCGAGTAACTAAGGTAGTTAAATGCGATTGAAAAGTTTCCTAAACAGCTCAATCGTTGAATACAGATTGAGTGAACACTGTCCTGCTTTTACAACGACGGCTATACGACACTAACCAGAGCTGGCCAAAGTTCAAGTTTTAGTCAGAACTAGCCAACACTTGCCAATAATGAGGCATTACTATAGCCATAATTTTTAAACATTCAGTCAACTTTACCAGGAGCAAGCACTGTATACAATATTTAGCCCTCACAATCCGACACTTTGCCATCATCCAGTGAATACTAACGAACAAGCTTCATCGCTAACGTATAGGGATATCGAAATGGTAATGTGAATAAAGTGTGTGACGTATCGACAGCCAGGCTGTCTATGTGGCGAGGAGCAGTATGTAACATTCTGCAATGCTCATGTAAGATGGAAATGGACTACATAACTGAGGTGTTCAAACACAAAAAAAATGTCGAGTTGTATGACCGCGTTATTGTACCATTGCTATAAAGATCCCTTCCTCTGCTCATTAGACGTGCTCTTTTGAATGCGACTGGTGATTTTTTTCTTCCTTCTGTTTTTCTTCTTGCGAAGTTGTTAAAACCATGCAGCCCATTTCCATTACCTACACTCTGGCCAACGGCAATATGGCGTGAGCTTGGGATATAAAACTTGCGACGTTATAACGTGCTAGTCACCCGTGCCTGCAAAGTGCCCAGCGGGAGGCGTTTACCAACCACCAAAGAATGCAACATAAGTCGTTTTTCTTTCCTTGTGCTTTTCGCCACTTAAATATTTAGTCATTGTGTGCGTGCGTGTGTGTGTGTGTGTGTGTGTGTGTTTTGACAAAATTTGTCGTATGTGCGTTACGCTTCATCAAGTCTTTATAGGCTCATTTCTCACAGCGAGCAGTGAAGTTTTTCCGGAAATGTAAGAAACAAGGTAACCAAAGAGAAAAAAAAGTGGTCTAGTGGCTAAGGTATACTCGGCTGCTGACCCGCCGGTGGCGGGATCGAATCCCGGCTGCGGCGGCTGCATTTCCGATGGAGGTGGAAATGTTGTAGGCCCGTGTGCTCAGATTTGGGTGCACGTTAAAGAACCCCAGGTGGTCGAAATTTCCGGAGCCCTCCACTACGGCGTCTCTCATAATCATATGGTGGTTTGGTGGTTTTGGGACGTTAAACCACACATATCAATAAAAAAAGTGCTATGTCGCGCACACCTTTTTTTTTTTTCCTTTCCTGCCGTAGTCTTTCCAGCCACAAAGGCTTGAGGTCTAGGTTGACGCCACAGGCTGTCGAGTATCTATCGCAAAGCCTTTCACGAATGATGTCAGCATGCCTTGTATATAAAATCGAGTTGCAGAATTTGTGTTCGCTGGCTGTGAGCTGTTTGCGTGGTAACAGCTAAACATATATATGTGATAAGCCGGTTGCTTCATTAGGAATCAGTGCCTCAGACAGGCTGGCCCACGTTTCGACAGGTGGACCAATGTTATTCAAACGCGCTTCATCGTACTTGGTGAATTAACTTTGAAGTAGTAAGTGACTGACGTCATCACGTGGTGTCACATTCTGTACCTATTTACCAAGACCCTTATCGAAATGGCGGTCGTGTGGTCTCAGACGCACTCATTTCCGTTCATAGAGCAGCTATATAACATTTTTTTTCGTCCGCGAGTTCCCACGTGTAGTTTGTACTTCAACAACTCAATAGAAGTACAAAGCTGCAGCTACATATTTACTTATTTATTATTTACTTCATTATTCCTTCGTACACTTTGTGTCTTCAGCACACATTTTCTCTCGGTTGTGGGCTTACGTTAAACTACCAACTCCTGAACACATAAAAATTGATTTGTGTTCTTACCTCTGAATGCCTGGTCCCAAAATCCATTATTAGAAAAATGTTGCGTTGCTCCCGGAAAATTACTTTAAAACTGTGTGGCCTTACTGCTTACCTAAAGCTTCTTTATTTGATGCGCGAAAAGCAATGTTGAGTCCACTTTTTATAGTGGACTGACGTCTATGCGCCGCAGCTAAGAAGTTGAGTCCGCTGAAACGTGTGTGTGCCATATTTAGCCTTCTTTTGACTGAGTGAGAGAGAGAGAGAGCTGGAGAGACTGGGAGGAGGGGGAGGAGGTTGTAAGGGCAAGACAGTAACTTTTCCGTAAAAGCCGCTTTTAGACTTCCCCGGAAACAGCGGTACTCAGTTGGTTACTTAGAATATCGATCAAGAGCTGCTGGCGCACAAGAACAGTCAGCTCGATATACGCAGGTTTGATTCACAAGAGGGTACTCCATCTTCTGCGATGTGCGCCAAGGAGGAAAGACACATGCTCTGCCGTTTCATTACTTCTACAGAAAATAAGACTGAATTGTGGGGACGTGTTCAATCACGCGGGTAGTGGAGAAACTATCGCTTTCAATAACACCCTCTTCCATCTCCCCCCTCCTTCGGAATGCGTGTAATAGGCCATGAACTTCGGGGCAGTCTGATCGCTGGGCGGCCCCATCAATAACGTACTTATACCTTTTAGAAACTTTTAAGAGGTATAATTTTGTGGGGCAAACTTCGTACGAAAAGTAGCCCTCCATAGTGTTTACTAAAAATGTGTTCGCAAAAAAGAGAGTCGCATAGATAGATAGATAGATAGATAGATAGATAGATAGATAGATAGATAGATAGATAGATAGATAGATAGATAGATAGATAGATAGACAGACAGACAGATAGATAGATATATAGATAGATAGATAGACAGACAGATAGATAGATAGATAGATAGATAGATAGATAGATGGATAGATAGATAGATAGACAGACAGACTGACAGATAGACAGACAGATAGATAGACATATAGATAGACAGATAGATAGATAGATAGATAGATAGATAGATAGAGCGATAGATAGATAGACACATAGAGCGACAGACAGACAAACAGACAGACAGACAGACAGACAGACAGACAGACAGACAGACAGACAGACAGACAGACAGAGATAGAAAGACAGACAGACAGACAGACAGAGACAGACAGACAGACAGACAGACAGACAGATAGATAGATAGACAGATAGATAGATAGATAGATAGATAGACAGACAGATAGATAGATAGATAGATAGATAGATAGATAGATAGATAGATAGATAGATAGATAGATAGATAGATAGATAGACGTGATTCGGGTTGGAACATGTGACTTCGATCACAGTTGAGAGTGGACTTTTATCGCCAACTCGTCTGACAGGAAAGGTAACCAAGTTTTTCTAAATCCAGAGACTAACACACACCACAAACACAATAAGCGAAGGACCACTCTCTCATCATACAGAAAAGCACGGCTGACTTTGCCAACTCTGCGTCCGGCTGTGGCTATGGCTGCAGCGAGTGGGCCTGCCTATACCATGCAGGAACATTCTCATCGTGCCTCGGGGCAGTGTTCACAACCGGCGGCGGCGGCCGCGCGGGCCGTTTCCCCCATGAATATTCAGATTAGGCCGGCCAAACAATGACTCGTGTAAAGTCGGCGTGTTGATCGCCAGGTTTTCTGCCTCATCGTCTGTTCCTCTCTCTTTCTTTCTAGTCTCCGTGGCGTAGGCAAGTCCTCTCTCCTCATTTCCCAACACAAATCCAATTCAGCCGCCCGGCGCCCCAGGCTGATAAAAAAAGAAAATCACGCTGTCCCGTTGTTTCGGCCGGATCTCGGTTACACCTCTCTCTCTGGCCGGCGGAACAAAGCTTGTTGAATGCCAGAAAAAGTTTTTCTCTCGCGTCTCGACACCGCGAAGGATGCCGAAACTTGCTGCGCGCGTGTGCGAGCTTCTTTCGTCGTGAGAGTGAATGTTTAATGGAAGGGTGGGGGGAGGTCTCGTGTTGAATCGAGAGCGCGAGTCTCGTGATGGTGGTGCGGCCATTCGCGTGTTGTGGATGCGGTG